ATGTCATAAAGGCCAAAAACAAAAAAGAAGAAGAAAGGCTGGATAATGGACAGTCAGTAAGCGAGGAGTAAGTGCATTCATAGGAAAACACCGCATAGATGTCCAGATTCGGAGACTAAAATGAAGAGGCTTCTTCTCTACACATCATGCCTCGAAGCCTATGTGAGCTGCTAGCTTCAGCCATGCATCTGGCATGCTTAATCCCTATGCTAGGTTACAAACTTGAAGCTAACAGTCCCATACCCAGCACATATTTAATAAATTTGCAATCCTATCCTGCATCCTTTGATTTGTTTATATTCTTCCCTTATTTGTCTATCAGGGATTTATGAATAGTTCATGGAAATAATTCATATTACGAAAAAACTATGCATGGATTTCTTGGGGGTGGGGGGGGGCTCCAAAATAAACTTGTACTGAGTAGTTATAACTTGTCTCATCAGGATCTAGTCTGAGGCACTGAGAAGGGAAAGGCCTGGGTTTGGAAAGAGCCTCTATCAGAGCAATGTGAACTCTCTTAACAGCGAAGCAACGTCAAGTGTCAGACTTATGATGAAGAATGGAGAAAGTACTGAAGCTTCCCAAAAAGTTTCTGGCGATTTCAGAACGGATACCTCATTTTATAATGAGATAAGAGGCCGAGGAAAAAGGCGGCAGTGGCAGCCATTCCCATCAATTAGAGAGGAAGCAATCGTCTTCAAGCCTCCCCGAAGGGCCCAACGCTTCACAGCAGAAACAACAGCCAACATCACAGACCTCACAGCCCGGTCAGCAGATACAAGTCTGACTGAGAAACCAAGCTGAGGAAGCTTTCTGCCCGCTGGGTGCCCAGCTGGTGCTCCAGGTCAGCTGCAGGTGAGACTGAGCGCTCGATGGGCATGTTTAAGGAGTGGGATCAAGCACCTGGAGGATTTCTGGAAGACCTGAACGGGCGCTTTGTCAGGAGGATCCTGAAGACAAGGCGTAATCCAAGCGATGGCTACAGAGGTGGCAGCTGTCCGGTCAAAGCCGCAGTGCACCAGGCGAGCGCCGGGTCCTAGCAACAGCTGGCTGGGACACTCAGAAGCATTTTGCTGGCTGCCTTTCTGAAGGGCCAAGGAACACTAACGCTGCTTCACATGAGTCTTTTGAGGAAGAAGGCTTTAGAGGACAAACACCTAGGAAGTCTCCACCAGAGAGCCCTTTTCCACCATGACAAAGCTCCTGCTCATTCCTCTCTGGAAACAAGGGCCATTTTGTGAGAGTTCCTATGGGAATCAGGCATCCAGCCTATGGTCCTGATTTGGCTCCTTCTGACTTGTTTTTGTTCCTAATCTTAAAAAGAAACCTTTCAAGGACTCATTCAGTTAGTGACATAAAAAAGACTGCATTGACATGGTTAAATTCTTCAGTTCTTCAGGGATGGGCTGACATCAGCCTTACCAACGTGTCTTGACCTTGATGTAGCTTACGTTGAGAAAGAAAGTTTCTTTATTTTATGTTTGTCTTTTAATCCCATTTTCCCACAAACTTTTCAAAGTCCCCTTGAATTATCTACCTTCTTCCACTAGACAGTAAATGCTTCTGAGAGCAGATACCATGCCAGTTGTCTGCATCTTGTCTACAACGTGGCTCCAGCCTGGCCATTTGCACCGTGAGCATTTAGCAAATTTTGGTTGAGGGAGAAAATGTCTGATTAATTACTATCACCCTGTGCTCAGCAAAATTCACCATAAGGCAGATTCGCCTTGAAATAGATCCAAGGGCATTTAGTTACTGCAGTACCTAAACAATCTCTTCCAAGCCAATCCTGAGGTCAGCATTAACTGCAGATCAGGGTTCTGAACTGTAACAACAACAGCTCAAGCCTAGATTATTCCAAAGGACTATTTAAATGCTACAGGCATTGTAATGGCTTAAGGGTTGGACTACTAACCAAAGGGTAAGCAGTTCAAATCCACTAGCTGGTCCTGGGAAGAAAGAGGAAGCTTTCTGCTCCAATAAAGTTTTACAGCCTTGGAATCCACAAAGGCAGGTCTATTCTATCCTGCGGGGTGGCTATGAATGGCAATGAGTTTGGTTTGATTCGGATGCTAATAACAAGGTAAATAAAACATTTACATTGCTATTGCTTCCATGAAAAAGCAGACACTTCTGCAGAAAGCTATCCAGTCTAGCATCCAGCTAGCCAAAGCACTATCTCACTGCAGTAGATCACTAAGAAGCCACCAGTCAGGAGCCCAGAGGTAGTGGACATGCTCCTTCCTGTTGATTATAATGATTATTCAGCAGCCTGGAGCACTTGGATAGATAGATGTTACTCATCATTAAAACCCTCTATATAACCCATGGCAATCCTGGACAGAGCTTTAAGCTCACTGAATTTAGACAGCAAATCTCTTCATCCCTGTTAATCATATAAAAATGTACTAAGTATGAAAACCAGATTTGGAAAGAAAAAAAAAAGAAAGCCAGATTTGGACATGGGTGACTGATTAGACCATGGAGTGATTCAAAACAAGTTCTCTGATTGCTTATTTTAATAGGCACACATAAAAGATAACCTGCGCATCATCTTGCTATGTTGCTGTGCAAATAATAATTTGGAAAACAGGAGTCCATCAAAAGCTGTGCAAATGGTACAGGAAACTGATGACTGGCAAGGATAGTATTCAGAGTGGGCAACAACAATTAAGTGGAAACGAACAACAGAATTGTGGGCAAACCCTGGTTCTGAGGCTCTCTTGTAGTGAAGGGACCACCTCATCCATGCTATACTTTAAAAAATAATTTTATTAGGGCCTTGTACAACTCTTATCACAATCCATACTTACATCAATTGTGTAAAGCACATTTGTACGTTCATTGCCCTCATCATTCTCGAAACATTTGCTCTCCACTTAAGCTCTTGACATCAGCTCCTCATAACTACATTCGTCTTAGGACCTGATCGTATCTGGCAGCAGCAAGCACCGAGGATGAACACAGCAGAAAGGATGCAAACCCAGAAGGTCATGGTTCTACAGAAGAAAACTGTGCTGGCTAACACGGCAGCCATTTGCTACACATGGCTACTTCCGTGGAATGTAGGGAAATTAACTACAATTTAAAAATCAGTGTTTCGGTCAGCATGCTGTATTCCCCACATACAGCTAGTGGCTACTGTATTGAGCAGTGCAGAAAGAGAAATTTTCCATTATTGCTGAGAGTTCTATTGGATAGCACTGGACTAGAAAATGAACCTCCCTAATGCTCAGATAGACCTGATAAGAAATTTAGAATTAAAGCCAATAGCTTCACTAAGCATAAACAGGGACACAAAGGTCAGTTAGTTACATGCTTATTTTATTGAGCATGTCCATAAATAAGCACATTTGGGGAGACACACAAAATTTGGCCCTCTTTATCAGCACAGAAGCTCTTTGCCCCAGTCTCTCTGTGTATATGTGTGTCTCTCTTTTGTGCAAGAGGTACAAAAAGGAAAACAATAGGTCACCAGGAACCCTTTGATTTAGTCTCTTTTATCCAGAGCTGTACACATCATCAAAACCAAAGAGAGTTTAGAAGTACCTACTTTCCACCCATTCTCCATCTTCTTGACTTCAAATGAAATGCTGAAAAGAATCAAGGAAAAGAAAGAATTCAAGAAAATTACTGAGAAGGAAAAGGATGGTTGTCCTAAATTACTGTTCCAGGCCACCCAAGAAAAGCGTGCCATTAACTCCAGAGGAATGCTCAAAAACACACTGGGAGCACCAGTCAGCCAAATGAGCTGCTACGAACAATTTAAAGTACTGAGTTCTCGACAAGAGCCACACACTCTGATCTGACTACTTATCACCCGGGCAAAGAAATAAAACAAACACATAAGTCACCTTCCAATCTACAGCTTCAGAGGTCACCTGGCCCTCAGAGGGAGGCCATGTTGGATAGGCAGATAAAAATCAACTACTGTAAAAGGATGCTACTGGTCAGCAGTGACCTGTACAGTCCTTAAAAAATGACATTGACATAAACCTTTGATTTCAAGTAACTAGTTTTAAAGACATCTTATGAAACCAAATTAAATTTCACTGGAAATCCAGGAAGACGAAAACCAGGGTTCTCAGACATTGGATGCTATGTAAACATTCATTCTATCACTGCTTCAATATTTGCTTGCTAACTTTCCCTCTGTGCACCACACCAAGGAAGATCTGATCTCTTGCAATTTGAATGCAAGCCCAAATGCAATCAGCACATGAAAACTACAACGCATATAACTATAAGCCTTTGGTTTACGAGGAGAACAGCTTATATATTTTTGGAAAACTCAAGAGTGTAAAAATCCCCTTTTGTAAATGTG